CCCGCAGATCCAAAGATTTTGGAAACTCTAATGATAAGTATAAGAATTGAGCAGTAGAGTAAGATAAAAGTCAAATTAGATGTCCTAAGAATATGCCTACTTGATTTTGCAAGAATATTTACCTAGGGTGTAGAATGTGAAGTCTGGCAATTCTTTTATGACTTTTTTATCTAATGAAACCAGACATATATATAACAACAAACAGTAAAGATAACATGAAAATAAAATACTAATACAGTTTATGTGCTTATCTAGTTAAAGCGATTTAAATGAACAAACCTCTGCTGAAGGATAAAAAGCAATTAGCAGCTCAGTGGAAAGATTTATGCTGCTGATTTGAGTTTGATCCACTACAAGTTGAAAGTTCACACAATGATTTATAAAAAAATTCTATATTTTATAAAAGAATGCGACAGAGGTTAAAACCCTCATCATAATTTTCACAGCACTTGAGGTAAGGTTGAGTAGAATCTTAAATGTGCATAAATATTTTAACAGATCCTAAGACTGGTCGTCTTGCCAAAGCCATCACCAAGGACATGGCCTGAGACATCGAGGAGAAATGTAGACCTTCTATACCAATCATGTAATGTGCAAGGGGGGTAGTTGGTGTAAAATGAAGAATCAATACGTAGGCATGAGATAGAAGTGAGGTGGCATAAGGGATGTGGTTCAAATAAGTTAAGACTGGCATTGAAGAGTCAAGGGGCAAAATGGCATGACATTAGTGCCAGACTACATGAGATAAAATTAGGCTTGTTTGTATGATACGAGGGACAACTGCCAAGAAATAAAGAGTGGTGTAAGGAAATCAAAAGGGCTTTCAATGAGGAGCTAGCATTATATGGAGTGTGCTGACATCTGGAGCTGGTATTATTTCAGGGGCGAGTAGGAAAATGGAGGGAATGTGGAACGAAATGAAAAGGTAGCGGGAATGAAGAGAGGTTGAAGCAGAATGACAGTGGATGTAAAGCTGGAATAAAAGGACCTTTGGCTTGAAATGTTGTGGTTCTTGAAAGAAAGAGCTGGCATTAAATTATTAAGGGTGGAGCTGACTTTAAAGGACCACTATAGGCACCCAGACCACTTCAGCTTAATGAAGTGGTCTGGGTGCCAGGTCCAGCTAGGGTTAACCCTTTTTCCTATAAACATAGAAGTTTCAGAGAAACTGCTATGTTTATATTAGGGTTAATCCAGCCTCTAGTGGCTGTCTCATTGACAGATGCTAGAGGTGCTTCCGCGCTTCTCACTGTGATTTTCACAGTGAGAAGATGCCAGCGTCCATAGGATAGCATTCAGCCGAGGAGGAGGAGAGGAGGAGAGCTCCCGCCCGGCGCTGGAGAAAGAGGTAAGTTTAACCCCTTCCTCACCCTAGAGTCCGGCGGGAGGGGGACCCTGAGGGTGGGGGCACACGCAGGGCACTATAGTGCCAGGAAAATGAGTATGTTTTCCTGGCACTATAGTGGTCCTTTAAATGTTCGTTAAGACGAGAAATAGTGGAGTGAGGTGAGAAATAGTGGAGTGGAGTTGGAAAAGAATGAGGGTGGTTAGAACTGGCATTAAATTGGTGAGGATGTTATATTAAATGAGTAAAGACAGAACTGACATTAAATGTGCGTGGAGCTGGTATTAAATGAGGAAGGGTGGGTCTAACATTACACGAGAGATTGTAGAAATAGCATTAAATGTGGGAAGGTAGACTGGAAAGATGGAACTAACTTTAAATGAGTGAGAGTGGACTTTGCATTAAATGAGGGAGGGTGGAGCTAACATCAATGTGGGAGCTTAAAGGTGGCATCAAATAAGGGTGGTGCTGGTTTGATAGAGGGTGGAGCTGGGCTAAATAAATGTAGAAAAAACAACGAGGGAACCGGCTGATAATCTCTACAAAAGTAAATAAAGAGAATATAGTGTAATACAGTTTACAGTATAGACATTGCGCAAATTGAAATGCACTCACTGGATTTTAGACAAATTGAAGCTTGTAAGATGCCTCCCCCGATAGTATGGGGGGCCTAGGGAAATCCCCTGGATGTTTTCACTCCAACACAGGACTCCGGGTGAAGTTTGGAAAGATGGCTTTAATTCAATATTAAAATATGTTTAAAAATAAATAAAACAAATATAGATAAGGTCCTACGCGTTTCGTCCCTTTAACAAAATAGGGACTTCCTCAGGGACCACAATATTAAAAAACAATTTGGTACAATACAATCAAAGAACAGCCTAACAAATCCCCACCCGAAAAGTCCTTTAAATAGGGCTAATCCCTCATCTTAATTCAGTCACATGTTATCCTCAGACTCTCCTCATTGGTCCTGCATTAATAGGATTCATCTGTTACCGATCGCAGCTCCAAGTATTCACAGCTGATTTCGGAATAGTTCAATAATCCTCCGACAAATACCGGCACGTAAGTGCCATGCGTTCCAACTGTGTTAACCAAACCGGAAGTGGCATGCGTTCCAAACACATTGACGAAACCGGAAATGATGTGCGTTCCAACCTCGTTGTTTTGCGTTCCATTTGTAATCTGCAATATCTGGCCATAAAATACATATGAATACTTCCACTCTACCACTTAAAAATCATCAATAATGTATTAATCTTATAATTCATACAAGAATTACTATACTATTCACCACATGAATTCAATAACTACACATAATCCACTCTAATCTATCATGTTAAATGTGATTTTATAATGTCATATAGTTCATCCCATATTTTTAGTGAAATTGTAATTTATATTCTTCATTTAAATTTATAATAAATTCCAAATATTAAATGTGATTTTATAATATCATATAGTTCATCCCATAATTTTAGTGAAATTGTAATTTTTATTCTTCATTTAAATTTATAATAAATTCCAATAAATTCATCAATGTACTACATTTGTGTCAATCATTATTTATTATCTTATGAAAATTTTTTTTTTTTTTCTGCTCTCTCTCTCTCCCTTTTATATATATATATGTGTGTATAGTGTATTCCTTTTATTTGATACTAAATAGTGAATTACAATCATAAAAAACACACCAAATCCACTTCTACATTTAATCCCCCTGGTTCCAATGTCTGTAATTTATGGATCCAGTAGGTCTCACGTTGTGATAGTTTTTTAACTCTATCACCCCCTCTCCAATCTATTTTTACCCTCTCAATACCTATGCATTTAAATTTTGTAAAAGAAAATAGTGAACAATGATTACAGTGAACTGGAATAGAGTGGGTAGCCAAGTTCTTTTTGATATTATTAATATGTTCCATAAACCGAACTTTTAAAAGTCTCTTTGTTCTGCCAACATATTGTTTGCCGCACGGACACTGCAGTAAATAAACTACATAATCCGTGCGGCAATGTATCTCGGTCTTAATATGGAAAACCTCCCCTGTTATAAAACTAGAGAATATATCAGTCCGTTCTAAATTAACAGTGTGACAAGCTTTGCAAGAATTACAACCCCTAAAGGAACTATTACCAATTGACTTGTGACTGTCCTCATGATATTTTAAGGCATAACTAGGTGCCAAAATATTCTTAAAGTTTAGATTTTTTCTAAAAATAAGTTTAGGCCGGTCTGGTAAAACAGAATTCAATACAGGATCCTGTTGGAGAATCGACCAATGTTTTTGTAAACTTCTCCTAATTTTAGCATGATTAGTACAGTATTGAGTTCTAAAAGTAATTGTATTATCCTGATAAGATTTAGCACAAGGTTTGTCCATAAAATAGTTGGAACCAGGGGGATTAAATGTAGAAGTGGATTTGGTGTGTTTTTTATGATTGTAATTCACTATTTAGTATCAAATAAAAGGAATACACTATACACACATATATATATATAAAAGGGAGAGAGAGAGAGCAGAAAAAAAATGATATTATAAAATCACATTTAATATTTGGAATTTATTATAAATTTAAATGAAGAATATAAATTACAATTTCACTAAAAATATGGGATGAACTATATGACATTATAAAATCACATTTAACATGATAGATTAGAGTGGATTATGTGTAGTTATTGAATTCATGTGGTGAATAGTATAGTAATTCTTGTATGAATTATAAGATTAATACATTATTGATGATTTTTAAGTGGTAGAGTGGAAGTATTCATATGTATTTTATGGCCAGATATTGCAGATTACAAATGGAACGCAAAACAACGAGGTTGGAACGCACATCATTTCCGGTTTCGTCAATGTGTTTGGAACGCATGCCACTTCCGGTTTGGTTAACACAGTTGGAACGCATGGCACTTACGTGCCGGTATTTGTCGGAGGATTATTGAACTATTCCGAAATCAGCTGTGAATACTTGGAGCTGCGATCGGTAACAGATGAATCCTATTAATGCAGGACCAATGAGGAGAGTCTGAGGATAACATGTGACTGAATTAAGATGAGGGATTAGCCCTATTTAAAGGACTTTTCGGGTGGGGATTTGTTAGGCTGTTCTTTGATTGTATTGTACCAAATTGTTTTTTAATATTGTGGTCCCTGAGGAAGTCCCTATTTTGTTAAAGGGACGAAACGCGTAGGACCTTATCTATATTTGTTTTATTTATTTTTAAACATATTTTAATATTGAATTAAAGCCATCTTTCCAAACTTCACCCGGAGTCCTGTGTTGGAGTGAAAACATCCAGGGGATTTCCCTAGGCCCCCCATACTATCGGGGGAGGCATCTTACAAGCTTCAATTTGTCTAAAATCCAGTGAGTGCATTTCAATTTGCGCAATGTCTATACTGTAAACTGTATTACACTATATTCTCTTTATTTACTTTTGTAGAGATTATCAGCCGGTTCCCTCGTTGTTTTTTCTACATTTTGCTGTCAAGTTGATCGCTAGCTGGGAAGCGATCTGAGGGAGGCTGTATTCATCCTTATTTGATAAGTATCTTTGCATATATATTAAGGTGTATAAGGTACATTATTATTGGTTGTTTTTTGGTTTGTTATATCCCAGCACTTGTTATCCAATTATATTCTTGGGGTTCTTTTGATATGGCTACCAGCATAGATTTTTTGTCTGATATGCATAAACACCGTTTAAGGAAATTTGAAGCAATTTTCCAAGAACGTGACAAACCCCAACCCCTTAGGGGATTAAATTAATATTTCAAATGTAAAGAAAAATTATTATATGGGGAAACAAAAAAATGGTGGGAAATAGCCTTCCTAGAAAATTATCTTAAGGAAGGACTTATCCCTAGGGGCCTAAGGTTGGATAAAACTCTCGCTTTTGGTCTAGATAGTGAAAATTTTATGAATGAATGGGATGAGATTTTATCAAATTGTTCATTCCAGTTAATGCAACTTATCATCAAGTATTCAAAAGATATGAAAGAAAAAATTGAGGAAGAATTAGAACTATTACATACAGATGTACAGATTGATCTAGGAAGCATTGAGTACAAAGAGAAAGATGATTTATTACAAACAAATGTTAAACAACTGGATGAAAAAATTGCTGAGACTAAAAGTAGGAAATATAGAAGGGATAAGGAAGATAAAAATAATAGTACTTTTTCCACCTTAAATAGGATATCGAGAAGAAAACCCCATTCCTACAGAGGTTCTCATTTTAATTCTCATTCCCCTTATAGGAAAAAAACAATATCATATGATCATGGGAGGAGAAGTAAAGGTGACTCTTATTTGAAGGAGAATACTAAAAGGATTACATGTACTCCCCCAAGAGAACGATTAGAATCCAATAGAAATATACGTCCACTTGAAAAAAGGGGTAATCGTGCCCTTTCAAGAGAACGATTAGTATCTCAAAATGAAAATGCTAATACACGTCCCTTTGAAAAAAGGGGAGTTAGATCCTATGCTCAAGTAGCCAGACAAGATGAACATAATAGCAGATTCAATTCGCAATATAATGAAAAGGAAGAAAATTTTCAGGGGAGAACCCGAGGTCCCAAAGAGAAACCCATTACAAACTATTTTCACCCGAGGACTACACCTTGGGAACATCGAAATCGGTTCTCACCCTTACAAATAGACTCTCCAAACAAGAGAACACGAATGGAGGATTAGATGATTTAGCACAAGGTCAGGTCATTTTGCAGGCAAAAGCAAGAGAGAAAGGTATATTTAATATATCTGGTTTACCCCTGTCGGAAAGTGAGATACAGTTATTATCAAAGGGTATGAAGTTTGCACCCAATAGAATATCAAACGAGTTTAATTTATATATAGATTTAAAGAAATATATTAGGTCATTAACATTAAAGAGACATTTCATGTTGCAATCTAGTCAGACAATGACTCCAATTATGAATGAGGAGGAACTAAGAAATCGAAAATTTAGACCTAAATCACATTTTTATCCCACACAAAACAGAGGTCCATATTTAGAGATTTTTGAAAAATTAGTGGATAGGGAGTTTAAAACAGTGATTAATAAACATAATTTGAATAATAGAAATATAACTAGAGAGGAAGATAAATGTTTAAAACAACTTAAGAAGAGAGAGGATATTATAATTAAGGAAGCAGGCAAGGGAGGGGGTATAGTAATTATGTCTACTAATTATTATTTAAAGGAAGCATCTAATATCCTAAGTGATGATGAAACTTATATTATACTAACAAGGGACCCGACTAGGGAATTTAATTTGGCTCTAAAGAATTTATTAGAGGAAGCAAGATCTAATGATACAATTTCACAAGTGAATTATGATTTTTTATTTAGCAGTAATCCGAGAATTCCAATTTTTTATTTTATTCCAAAAATTCACAAACGTTTATTCAATCCCCCAGGACGTCCTATAATTAGTGGAGTAGATTCCTTGTCTGCCAACCTCTAAGCTTTTGTAGATTCATATCTACAGAAGTATGCTCAGGGCTCCCTATCTTATATTAAAGATACAAAATCATTCCTACAAGAATTGGAAAATATTGAATGGCATTCTAGTTACAGTTGGGCTACATTGGATGTGTCATCCCTTTATACTATAATTAGTCACAAATTGGGATTGGAAGCTATTAATCATTTTATGACAGAAGACCAACACTTACCTCAGGATATCAAAGAGTTTATTTTACATTCAGTTAAATTTATTTTAGAACATAATTATTTTTTCTTTAATGATAAATTCTATTTACAAATCACGGGAACCGCCATGGGCACCAGGTTCGCCCCCAGTTATGCCAATACCTATATGCGGAGATGGGAGGATCTTACAGTTTGGGCTGGTCATGACTGGAGGGAGAACCTGGTGCTCTGGCGGAGATATATTGATGACGTTATTATTATTTGGAAGGGGTCTTTTTCTGCTTTTCAATGTTTTGAAAATTATTTAAATCAGAATAAATATAATTTAAAATTCACTTCTGCATGGCATCAAAATGAAATCAGTTTTTTAGATCTGTCCTTAACATGTGATAATGACTCCATAAAAACAAAGTGTTTCTTCAAACCCAGTGATGGCAATGGATATGTTCATCAGCAGAGCTGCCATCACCGCCTTTGGCTTAGAGGAATAGCCAAGGGCCAATTTGCTAGGGTGAGAAGGAATTGCTCTCAAGTCAATGACTTTATAACGCAATCTGGCCACATTAGGGACAAATTGGTTGAAAGAGGTTATAAAAAGAATACATTGGATAGGGAAATCCGTATGGCTTTACAATCCGACAGGGGTAACTATCTTATGGACAAACCTTGTGCTAAATCTTCACACAATGTTTCAAACCACGATAGGGCTCTATGTAGGCAGTCTTTATCGTGCATGCTATTGTAAAAGTGTTTCACTTGCATATATCGGAATACTGTTAAAGGGCTCTGGGGCATGCCCCCTAGTAAGGAGTCCAGGGTCCGTATATCGCCGTTCTGTAGTATCCTGGAGATGGGAACATATTCACATCCCCCTCCAAAGGGCCACTTTGTTGATGTAAGTCCCCCCTATCGCGTCATTATAAGTGACAGACAACAGTGGGCTCGGTGTGGGCGAGATGCGCACCTGTTCCCTCATGAGTCTCCAGCTGATGAGCGTTTGTGCCAGTATTCCCTCCCTTCCCCCGTCAATATTCGATTTTGCCCGTTTCCCCCACACAGCAGCCTGTAGGTGCGCCCCTTGTCCTTCTTGTGCCAGGGTCACCCATTGTTTTCGCTGCTGTGGGTCTGCATGCCATTCTAGGATGCATTGGAGGACAGTGGCTTAATGGTATCATTTAAAATCGGGTAATGCCAGACCTCCTCTATGCCGTGGTAAACATAGGAGATCATGACGGAGTCTTGAGCGTTCACCTCTCCAAATGTAGCGGATGACTGCTGATTTCAATGTGGCAAAGAAGGGTGAGGTTATGGCCATAGGGGTCGTCTGGAATGGATATAGGAGTCTGGGTAGGATGTTCATTTTAAGAACTGCAATTCTTCCATGCCATGAGACATGTGGATATGCCCATTTGTTTAAGTCCACCAGTATTGTCTTCAGTAGCGGTGCGAAATTTTGTGAATACAGGTCGCTCGGGTCATTCGTTATCCATATCCCGAGATATTTCATTTTACATGAGCACCATTGGAAGGGGAACAGAGATTCCAGTGCTGCGTATTCTTCCTCCAGGAGAGTGACGTTTAGCACTTCATATTTGGACAGGTTAAGTTTAAAACCCGATATCTTGCCGAATTGTTCAGTTACCGTCAGGATGTTGGGCATCGTGATTCTGGGGTTGGTGACAAAAAACATGAGATCATCCGTGTATGCGGCCACTTTATGCTCCGTTCCCTGCCAGGAGAAACCCTGAATGTCTGGGTGTTGTCTGATCGTCTGTAGCAGTGGTCCCAGGGACATGGCAAACAGCAGTGGCGACAATGAGCAGCCCTGCCTCGTGCCGTTCCCTGCCAGGAGAAACCCTGAATGTCTGGGTGTTGTCTGATCGTCTGTAGCAGTGGTCCCAGGGACATGGCAAACAGCAGTGGCGACAATGAGCAGCCCTGCCTCGTGCCGTTGGAAATCTCAAAATTAGCAGTGAGTGCTCCATTTACCCTCACCGCAGCCTGTGGTTTATTATAAAGCGCGTGAATCCGTGTGAGGAGCCTGGATCCCATCCCCATGTTGCCTAGAGTAGCGACCATGTAAGGCCATTTCACCCGGGCAAAGGCCTTTTCAGCGTCCGTGGAGAGTGGGAGAAGTTGTTTTCGCATTTTTCTCGCTCTGTGTTGTATTGCAAACAGCCGCAGGGTACTATCTCGTGCTTCCCGTCCTGGTATAAACCCTGTTTGGTCCGCATGAATCAGTGATGGTAGGGCCTTTTGGAGCCTAGTCGCCAGGACTTTATTGAACAGTTTAGTGTCCACGTTTAGCAGGGATATTGGGCGGTAGCTGCTACACGCCGTTGGGTCTTTCCCGGGTTTTGGCAGCACAGTTATTATGGCTGCCAAGGATTCCCTCCCAAAAGTTTCCCCTTCGGCCACCGCATTAATAGCTTTCGTCAGCCATGGCAACAGTATTGATGAAAAGGTTTTATAATATCCTGATGAGAAGCTGTCTGGACCTTGGGCTTTTCCCGTTTTAGTAGATTTCAGACCTGCCTGAATGTCCTCCGTTGTAATCATGGCGTCCAGCTCCTCTGCCGCGTCTGGGCGTATTACTTTCGTCATGGTGTCTCTTAAGTATTCCTGCGCTCTGATAGATTCGGCGTCCCTGTCCTCCCATCTGTCTCGTTCCTGTAGATTGTAGAGTGATTGGTAGTAGCGTTCCGAATTCTTCAGCTATTTTGTCTGGGAATGCCGTCAGGGCGCCTGATGAGAGGCGCAGAGTGCGGACCTGCGTGCGAAGGGTATTGTCTTTCAAGAGCCGTGCTAGGTATCTGCCCCCTTTGTTGGCATGTGTGTAGAAGAACCCTTTGGAGTGTTGTAAAGATTGTAGGTGGCGTTTTGTGAGGAGATCTCTGAGTTGGCGTCTGGCTTGCATTAATTCTCCATACGTTTCCATCAGCTGGGATCTCTTGTGTTGCTGTTCCAATGTCGTGATGGATTTATAGAGCTCCGCCATTTCTCGAGTAGCTACCTTTTTCTTTTTGGAGGCTATTCGAATGAGTGTGCCCCTGATGACGCATTTGTGGGCTTCCCATACAGAGACCGGTGAGGCATTCGGTGTGTTGTTTTCCTGAAAGTAGTGTTCCAGGTCTTCGGTTACTTGCCTACGGGCCTCAGGGTCGAGAAGGAGGGCTTCATTGAGTCTCCAAGTCCACGTGCAGGGCCGGAAGAGTGGTGATTCAAGCTCGATGATAACGGAGCCGTGGTCCGACTACGTCGCTGGGTCAAGTTTGGCAGAGAGTAGTCGCGTTAATCCTATTTGTCGTATAAAGATATAGTCAATACGTGAGTATCTATTATGCAGTGCAGGGTAGTAGGTGTTGTCCCTAGTGGTGGGATGAAGGGTCCTCCAGCAATCCACAAGGTCCTCCTTATGGAGCGTATATTGAGTTGAGTGATGCTACTGTGGCCTGTCGACGAGTCTATGATGGGGTTCAAGGGTGCGTTGAGGTCCCCCCGAGGATTAGTGTGCCCTCGGAGAAGCCTTTCAGTTTGTCTAGCGTAACCCTAAGGAACTGAGCTTGTCTTTTATTGGGTGTGTAGATATTAGCGAGTGTGTAGAGCATACCCGCAATTGTCCCTTTCAGGAATAGGAAGCGGCCCTGGTCGTCCCATAAGCTGTCCAGCAGTTGGAATTCTAGGTCTCCAGAGATTAAAGTGGCAACACCGGCCCTCCGGGTCGTAGGATGATCGCAAAAGTGGTTGATCGGGTAGTATTTATTCTGTAGTTTGGGTGCAGCGTCCTTTCGGAAATGTGTTTCCTGTAGTAGTGCGATTGATATGTGTCTTTTCCTCATCTCTAGCAACATGTGGGTTCTCCGTTCAGGTACATTTAGGCCTCTGCAATTGAGGGTGAGAACAGTCAGGGGTGCGGGGTGATACGCTCCCGTGGCTCCGGGTTCATTGCTGCCGATCATTGTTTGGTTTCCACCCCCCCCGCCATCAGCTCGCGTTAGGGACCCGGACCCCCGGTGCGCACCCCAGGCAGAAGAACAGCAGTGAGGCTGAGTAGGTAGAGGGGTAAGATAGGTACGAGTGAGTAAGAGAGTGTAAGGGAAAGTTAGAGTGAGAAAAGAGAGAGAAACAGTCACCCGATTAGTCGAGTACTGCAACCAAGACAATAGATATCTCAGTCGGTCCACCCCTGATAGAGAGGTGATTCGTGCTATGGTCGGCAACTCTTGGCCTCGACTAAGTGAATGAAAGTGTGTGTCTCGTTCGGAGAGCTCGCGTCTGCCGCGTCCCGTAGTTGCTAACATTCAGGGTTAATGTAAAAGATCCATTTCAAACATTTGGCAAATAACCATAAGTAACAGTGTAACAAATTGAGTGCAGTTTTGGTAAATCAGGCCAGGAGTATCTGCGTGTCTGTCCCGGCCCTTCGGCAGGCAGGTGTGAGACAGATCGTCTCCTGTGGCTCGACTTTCGATCCCCTACACAGGTCCCCCCCGTTCCTTTCCGCAAAGCAGCCCATTGTTCCCCATATGCATGCTAAGCGAGATGCTGCCGCTCCTAGCCATCCGTCTAGCGTCTTTTCCGCCCCCCTCCAGTGCGTTACCCCAGTAGCCCTCGGGCTACAGAGAAAATTAACAGTCGTAGCTCATTTCTGGGCCTCTTAAGTTTGTACAAGGGGCTATTATCGGGGCGGGTGGTACCCCAAATGTCAGTGATGTGTTCCCCAGCGCCATTCAGCTGTCTAGAGCCCATCCACCCTGTATCTCTGCCCGTCCCCTAGATACGTGCAGGGCCGGCGCTAC